TCGTTTTTTCACTGCGGCTCCTGCCTGATTTGATGATCGTTCACTTTCAAAGTGTTTTCGGCTTTGCTTTGCCGGAGGCGTGTTTTTTCCAAAGAAACAACAACCAAAAGAGTGTTTTCATCGTTTTTTTTTTTTTCAATGTTTTATCAGGACTAAGCCTTAAACAGAACCCACGAAACAGCCATGGGAAAACTTTTCCCGTTGTGGTGCGTTCCGGAGTCGCGGGAACTGTTGTCCTCGCTTGGCTGCTCAGGAAGAAAGCTTGAAAGGCCAGGCTGAGAAAAAAAATTGGGGCGCCGTCTCCACTTCCTTTTCCCAACTGTAACCAGAAATAACGTTACGCGCTTGCAAAATCTTTTTTCTCCATTTGAAGGCCACCGCGGTGGCGCCCCGTTGTTCGCAGGTTACTGCCTTGTACGCCGAGCAGAAGGCCTAGGCTTTTTGTTTTCAAATTCATGAACTGAAAAAAAACCCCTTTTTTTATATGTTCCAAAATACCAAACATTCCCTTGTTATTGTGCTAATTAAGGCAAGACTTAATTCGCGGGGTTTTTTCCCATGATGCAAATTTGCATGCAATGAAATGCTCTGGTTTCTGTTCTGGTCTTGTTTCTGTTCTGTCTCTCTCTCTTCCTTCTCTCTTTTCTCTCACTCCAACTGGTCAAGGGCAGATGAACCCACCCACCTTAAGAAGGCCCGAAGGGTTTCTGTCCTTAAGGTTCTGGCCTGTTAAAAAGGGGCAATTAGTTTTCCTTTTACCCTTGTCTTCAAAAGCGTTTCTTTTGCCTTCATGGTGGTTACTTGTTGGCGTCTCTGCTAAAAATGTTTAAAAAAAAGGAGTTCGGCTTTCTAAGGGACCTGCCTCTGATTTGAAAAGCGTGTTTCCCTTGAGTAAAAACTTTTTTCTGTTATGAATTGGTTTGCCTATAACCACAAATTAATTGAAATTGAAACTTTTGAAAATTTGTTTTACAAAGTTTGCCTTGAACGGATTCAAAAAGGCTGAAAGGTTTTTTATTTTTCCAACATCTTTGTTTGTTTGCTGCTCCTGAAACTGCGACATTAAGTTTAACCAAATCCGGGACAATAAAGTAAATTCTAATGATTTACCATGCTTTCCTGTATTTTGTAAAGGTTGCAAATTGCAAAACTGGCTGTGCTTCAAAAACGCCAAAACCAAAACACCGGCGTTTGAATTGATACTTTTGCTTTTTCCCTGTTTCACTTGTTTTTCAAGAACAAAAAAAAACAAGAAAAGCAGGGACTGTTCCTTTTAATTGGAGGGACCTTTTTTTTCAGGATGGCATCAAACACCTAAAAACGAAACTCTTTTTACAAAAGGTAAATTCATTCTTGGATTTCTGTTTTTTTCCTCATTAAAAAGCTTCTTTATGTTTTCTTATAAATAAAATCAGAAATATTTGATCAAGCAAGACAGTAAAGGTTTGTTGTTAAGCTTTGCTTTCCTTCTTTGGCTTTTGCCCTGTGCGGACTGAATTTCTTAATGTTGTTCCTTAAGTAACTAGGGATGAAGGCGTCCAAAAGGTTTGTTGAACCTTATGGCCTTTTTCCAGAGTGTTTCTCTCTCTCACAACACAGAGTCAACAACACAGGAGTCCACACAGCAGCTCCAACAACAAGAGGTCCAACACGAGTCCACAACACAGCAGTCCACAAACACAAGAAGGTCCAACACAGAGTCCAAAAGTCAAAAGCTAACTTAATGCTAAAGCTTGTTGGGACATATTGTTTGATTGTGCTGGTTAGCTGAGATAACGTTGCATTGGGTGCTAACTAGTAGCTAATGGTAGCAACAAATACTGCTCAGCAGCTTTCATCAGACTTCCTGAGGCTAATCTGGCTGACTAAACCTTTGCCTTGCATTGCCTAACTTATCGCTAGTAAAATACTTTCTGAAGGTGTGATATGTTAGCTGGTTAACATGTTTATTGCTGCTGAGGACTGACTCAGTGCTGGAACCAGCTCTTGGGTTGGACATTAGAGGAACTGCAGGTTACGTTACTTTTCATGTTGCTTCCTATTGGCCAACTAACTTTTGAATTTGTCTTCTTTCCTTTACAGGTTTGATTCATCCAACCACAGTGAGACCTGTTATCATGACGACCACCACTGAACAAACCACCACCACCACCACCACACCACCCACACCGGCTCACTCACACAACCACCACACAAGCCCCCAACAACTACACCAAAACCACAACACAGCACCCACAAACTAACCAACAACCACCAACAAGGTCCCGCAACAAACTACACCCAACACCACCACACAAGCTCCCGCCAAAACTACACCAACAACCACCAACACAATGCCTCCCGCAACAACTACACCACACCACACACAAGGCTCCCGCACACTACACCAACAACCACCACACAAGCTCCCACAACAACTACACCAACCACAGAAAGTACTTCACCACCGACCACCACAATCTCTACACCAACCACAACAGCACCTCCACCCATCATAATCATTGCCACGATGCCTCCACTGACTCCAGAACCCACCACCACACCAACAACAACAACAGCTTCTAAAACGACCATCTCCACCACAAGAAAGACAAACAAAACCAGCAAAAAGCAAAATAAAGCAACCAAGAAAGCAAAGCCTCATCCTGTCACTACCACCACCGCCGCCACCACCCAGACAACTAAGAGCTCCACAACATCACTTCCTGTTGTAACAGCCAGTCAAGAGGCTGCACCAAGAACTACTGAAAAACCACAGCCCATCACTGAAACTACAACTCCCACTACTACTACGACTACTACTCCACTTTCTACTACCACCACCACCACTACTACTCCTTCCACTACCACAACAGCGACAACTCCCACTACTACTACAACAACTACAACTCCCAGTACTACCACCACTACTACGACTGCTCCTCCTCTTCCTACTACTACAGCTCCTGCCACCACTGATTTGTCCACCACGAGGTCGACTCCAGGAGCAACTCTCGTTATCGTCCCCAAAGACGCTGTCCAGTCCGATCATGGCCTCCAGAACTCGAGCGTGCGGGGGAAAGCGGTGGCGGCACAGGGGGCGGTGAAGAGCGGCGTGGTAGCATTCATGGTGCTGGGGCTCGCTGTGCTCACGCTGGCTCTGGCTGTCGGTGGTCGCAAGGCGATGGAGTCATTCGACAGACGCCATTACACGAGACTGGAGCTCAATGACCTGCACTACGAGGTGTGAGGATGTTTATGACGGAAGCCCCAAAGGACAATTAACAAGACTTAAGATGAGTCCATTTAAGATTGTTAGCATTTGTCTTTTTAATTTACATAATAATGGAATGTCTACTTCACTATGTTAAAACTACAGAGAATACTCTGATTCTGATTGGCCAGAGGGTGCATTATTTTCAAATAACCACACAGCTCTGGCATATTGTTTGTTTATGTTTATTGTCCTAAAACAGGAGTAAACAAGCCTTTGATCTTTGGTAAGTGGGCGTGGTATAAGGATGATAATGCCTGACACATTAATGTTGTATAAAATAATGCACTGATACCTGTGCAGTTATATAAAATAATGCACAGTGTGAAGAAAAACTGCCTCTGGCCTCAGCAGCCTGCATTATTTTACTAGGAGACGGCAATATGGATAAAATCCTCTATCATAGAACATTCTCCTACTTCTTAACTTAAAATATTTAAAATAATGGAAGAAAACAGTCACGCAGCTAAAAAACAGCTGTTTTTCTTTTTTCTTTTGATTGACAGCACCGATATATATCATTTTATATCGAGATAAAATATATATTGTGATACAGTAAATTTAAAATGCAACACATGACAAATCACGAAACATCACAATGATGCCAAAATTATCTTTTGTCTCAGAATCATTTTATCATTTTAAATTTGTCACAATTTAAAATTCTCATGTTGTTTTTTGAAATCTATGTATCTTTGTTACTGCCAATATGACAAAAATATTAGCTCAGTTTCTGGTTATAACAAGATTTTGATTCATTATGACATAATTCCCCAAATTGTTCTGTTTTAAAAAGTTATCATCTTTATATTCCTGATATTAGACATCAGTGTATTTTTTGAAACAAGGAACTTTTATCACGATAAGATTTCGTTATACAAGAAACTTAAATTTTTCAAATTAGAAAAACATCCAAACAGAGAAAATAGTAAAAAAAAAACATTAACATTACGTTAATAACATGAAAATATTTAGTTTTAAAGTCGCAGTTAAACATGAAACATTTCATGCTGTTATGAAAAACCGAGCTTTTTTTGTTATCCTGGCAGCAATATGCCTCCGTAGAACTTTGAAAATGTCACTTTTCTAATAATTGACCTTAAGCCCCGCCCCTTTTAGAACCAACTTCCTGTACTTAGATACGCTATGTGCTAGGCTAATCTATGACATATTCACATCTAAAGTTATCTTATGTCAGCAAAAATCTAGCAAACTAGCTAGCTAATCTACATCAATCACTAGCTAGTGAATTAGCTTATGTTTGGCTAACTGTAGCTATCAGATATAACGAGCTAGCTAACGAGATGTCACTATATATGTCACTTTTATCCGCTAATCGTCTTCAAAAACGCTTTGAAACGCAAACTAGCTAGCTAACAATTAGAGTAGATTAGTTAGATAGTTAGGTAGTGTTTTGTTAGCATTAGCTAAAATGTGATATTTTATCTTAACCATCTTCAGAATATGGTTGTTGTAGCATAGATTAGCCTAGCATATAGCATATCTAAGTACAGGAAAAGAGGAAGTTGACGAGGTTCTGACCGAGGCTTCCTCAACTGTGATTGGAGCACAGAGCAGAAAGGGGCGGGGCTTAGGAAGGGTTGACAGACTTTAGCTGGCTGGATAGTGAGTTTAGGAAATGTCGAAGAGAAAAGTTTGATGGAACAAACAGCAATATTTTTATTCCCTGACTCTCAGGAAGGTGTGATGTAACGTAGAGGAACAGAGGATGTGTGAGCGGACACTGATCGGGTTATTGATGAACCCTTTGTGTATAACGAACACCTGCATGTCTTTTATCTCACATGCTTCAGCCATACGAGCCTGAACCAGCTCAGTCTGGATGTCACTCTCACTGTGGTGGTTTTGTATTTTGTCCACAGTTTTCTTGTTTCACTCGTGGATAAAAATGTAAACGATGGATGCAATTCTCTAAGATTGATGCACTATTGTATCCTATGTTTTTGATAATTATGATATGCTTCTTTTTGAATATTAGATTGTTTTTCATAGGTAAGAGTCACTGGCCGCGCACTATTTTCCTATAATGATTTGTATTGGATGTCGGTGTGTGTGGGGGGGTCAGTGTGCAGACTGCTGCAGCGTCAGTCGTCCACCAGGTGGCAGCAGCAGCCTGATGAACCTCCTGCAGACACTGAGGAAGCTGCACTGTTGTTCTCACTGCTGTCTGATCAGTTAATATCATGGATGAACTGTTTGGTCTTGTTTTGTGAAGTGATGCTTTTGCATAAGTTTGGAATTTGATGTTTTGTTCTTGTAAGGATTAAAAAAAATGTGATTTTTGAATGTGTTGTTGTTGTTTTACTGAGTTCTGTGTCTGCAGCCAGAGGAAGTAAAAGTACACATTATTTACTGGTTATTTATTTACTCCAGTAGAAGTTATTTACTCCAGTAAAAGATTTTTACTCCAGGAGAAGTTATTTACTCCAGTAAAAGTTATTTACCCCAGTAGAAGTTAGTTATTTACTCCAGTAGAGGTTATTTATTTACTCGAGTAGAGGTTATTTACTCCAGTAGAAGATATTTACTCCAGTAGAGGTTATTTACTCCAGTAGAAGATATTTACTCCAGTAGAAGTTATTTACTCCAGTAGAAGATATTTACTCCAGTAGAAGTTATTTATTTACTCCAGTAGAGGTTATTTACTCCAGTAGAAGATATTTACTCCAGTAGAAGTTATTTATTTACTCTGGTAGAAGTTATTTATTCCAGTAGAAGATATTTACTCCAATAGAGGTTATTTACTCCAGTAGACGTTATTTAGTTTCTCCAGTAGAAGTTATTTACTCAAGTAGAAGTTATTTACTCGAGTAGAAGTTATTTATTTACTCCAGTAGAGGTTATTTAGTTTCTCCAGTAGAAGTTATTTACTCCAGTAGACACATACTTACACATACACATACTTAAAAGTAAAAATATAAAAGTTCAGGCTCTGAAATGAACTCAAAAAGTAAAAGTATGCTGTTTGTCTGACGGATGTTTTTATCGACTGTTTAAAACTGAAACTATATGATGGAGTTCCCCTTTCGGTCTTCTTACATCGGTCTTAATGCTTGAAAGGCGTTCAATGATGCAAATAATAATAATCAATAATTCCCCTAGAATGCGTTCAAACTAAAGTAACGAGTCTGAACGTGTACATAGTCTAACAGTTCAGATATTTCTGTAAAAATAAAAAGAAATACTTAAAGTACTGATAGCTGAAAAAACTGATCTCCAGCATTGTTGCACTTTTATCTTAGCCAGCAACTTCTTTTTGATTTAAATAAACATTCATAACTTTTAAATGGTGGATATGTTCTAGTTTATTTAATTTTATTTATGTATTTTCACATGCAGTTTATGTATTTATATATTTAAAGACCTGTAATAATAAATCATTTATAGAGGAAGTGTGATTCTGTTCACAATAAAATAACAATAGTTTACTGTTCATAACAAGGATCAATAATTCAACTGTAATAAAAGTTCAATACATGAATAATAATAACAGGAATAATTTAACAATAATAATAATAATTTAACAATAATTCAATACAGTATTTCCATGTTAATTTACTAGGAATTTAATGTGAGGAACCATATGTTGTATTATTTCAGTGTGTCTGATAATGAATATTTTGGCTTTTTATTATAAAATATCGTAACATATTTATTTATGTTGAGTTTGTTCATGTTAAACATTTATGATATTAACACTCATGATCATTTGTTTCTGGGATCAGTGTGTGAAAGTTTTAATGTGAAACAACAGAGAACGTGTTGATGGTCATTAATGTAAATCAGAAACAAGAGTGGTCCCAGGATGAAGCCCTGAGGAACAACAATGTGGTTTGGTTTGAATTATTAATTGATCTCCAATGCAATAAGAAAGTTGTGATCGACGGTGTCAAAAGCGTCTGACGAGTCTGAAAATAAGACTATTATTGTTATTAATATTATTATTATTATTTATAAACAAGCAGCAAAAGAAGCCTTTCTGTTGACATTTTCTTCTTAAAGCCTTTACGTCTATACTGTACGTTGTTAACTCTTTTCTCTTCGGGGTCAAATACAAATTAAGTAGGACGATAGTAAATAAAATATATAACAAACAGGTAGATTCACCTGTGAGTGTTGTATGGAAGACGATTGAGGACAATGTTAAGAGATATATAAATACTGAATTCCCACTTTTCAGTTCAAATTCAGACAAATGTGCAAATTTTATTATCTGAAGTTTAATGTTCTGAATGGTATCCTCAAACCTTTATGACTATAGTATTATTTTCTTAAAACAGAAATTAAATAAAAAGATTTTACTTTGTTTTTAAATTAATGTTTCATTCTGTATTCTGACTCTTTGTTATTTTTCTCTGTCCGTCTAACTCACTTAATTTAAAATAATCTCAATCTCAGAATAATCTCACTTCTATATTTTGTGTTGATTTTATTTAGCGTCAGCTGGAGGTTGTTGTCAGTCAGCAGCATTATAAAGACGGAGAAATTAGATCATTACATATTCACACATGTATTTTAATTCCTGATTTCCAAAACATCAAATGTTTATTTTAACAACTCGTTCCCTGATTCTCATTTTAAAATGAAAATCAAACTATCAGGATGTCTCAGCCTGTTTTGGGGGGATTGTGTTAAACAATATAATGTGAAGGATTAAAAGAGCATTGTTAGATATATATTTATATTTATATATATTTATTTATATGTGTTTGTGGCCCCCATCAATGTTCCTGTAGGTCCGCCCTGAGGAGGAGGTGGGGTGGGAGGGGGAGAGGAGAGGAGAGGAGGGGGAGAGGAGAAGGGGGAACAGCTTCCTCACAAGCGGAAGGAGACGACGGATCTCCTGCAGGACAATGTGAGACAGAGAGTTGATCGGGACGCATTGCAGCATCCAGTGATGGCAGCGGGGCTCGTTTTAACGCGCTGTGTGTGTGAGACAGTGAAGTAACGCTGCTGAAGGACCGCAAGGAAGCCGGCAGTTGGAGCCGACTTTGAGTCCGAGCAGCGGCCGCAGCGCATGGGAGGCTCTTGCGCTGAGGGACAGCGGCGGCGGAGGGCCAACAAACGGGGAGAAAGATGGGTGTCGTGCTGCGGACTCTGTTGTTCTTTTAGTTGTGTCAGTTTTTGTTTCCTCATACGAGGTGATGGGTGAAGCAGTGTGTGGTGTTGCTGGTGTGTACGTGGCTGTGTGTACTGTAAAAAATGTGGACGCTTCCAGCTGCGATTAACACTCAAAAAACACAATTTAACGACGATATTTGAGGAGCTCGGTTCGCGGGCCGCGAAGGGTTTTTTTCCCAGGATGGTAAAGTCAATGTCCCGCCCCCTCCCTGCTTGTGATTGGCTCATCCCGACAATCTACATGCCCGCTAACAATTTTTCC